GGGTCATCGGAAGGTCGCCTTTTTATGTGACCAAACCATCTAAGGTGACTCTCTCTAATTTTATCTTATATTGGAGCTACTCCAACCTTTTCACGTATATGCTCATTTCGTATCCTATCTCTAAGGGTAAAGCCACTCATCCACCTGAGCATCCTCATCTCTGCCACACTTAACTTAGTATTATGCTTCTCTTTTAAAGGCCAACATTCGGCACCATAAAGCATTGCAGGCCTCACTACCATCTTATAGAATTTTCCCTTAAGTTTGAGGGGTACATTTCTATCACATAACAAGCCCGAGGCATTCCTCCACTTCAACCATCCAACTTGAAAATTCATGTTGTTATAGATGTTTATTAATATATATAGATGTGTATGTTCGTGTCTACTAGAAAGTAATATTTTAATTTAACTCGCTAATCATCTAGTATAATGAAGACTATATCATTTCAAAGAAATTAAACTCATAAAGGCAACATCATATAGATACAAATAGAACATCAACTAGTTTTTTTTAATGATAGTATCATCAAGGCTTTGAAAATCGGACCGGTCAATGAACCGGAAGAAGAAGAGGTTAGGGATTTGATGGTTCGACCGGGGTCAAACCGGGGTCGAACCGGATGACGTAATAAATATTTATTATATTTAAATATTATAATAATGATATAATTATTTATAAATATATAACAAAAATTAAAATTAATTACTTTGATTTGCTTTGACTTGATAATAATTAATTACTTTGATATAATTATTTATAAATAAATAACAAAAAAAAAATTAATTACTTTGATTTGCATAAATGTTGTCATAGACTCATAGCTAACATTATTAAACTAACCCTAGGAGACTCCCAACACCTACGACATCATTCCAGGTAAAATTATAAAGCAACACCTAGCCATCTACAGTATCATTCTAGAAGAAACTCCCAACACCTACATCATTATCCCAACACCTACTCAATTACTTTAATGAAACAAACTCATGCCCCAACGTCATAATCGAGGGAAGCTTCATCATGGCGATGACAGTGGCCATTAAATGTGGATGGGATGCCGTTCTGCCTGGCCAATTAAAGCGGATGGGATGAATACGCGTCCGCCTTGGCATCCCGATTCCCGCGAGCAAATCACCCTTCATTTTTTTTAGCGAAGAGAGCGGTTAAAGGTAACCGGAACCGGTTCGCCGGTTTGCCGGTTTAACCGCCGGCTTGAACGGTTCGACGCCGGTTCTCAGCAAAACAAGTTTTAGTTTGAACCGTAACCGGCCGGCCGACCGGTTCGCGGTTCAACCGGTTGAACCGGCCGGTCCGGTCCGGTTTTAAAATCCTTGAGTATCATAATAAAATACATAAAATCAACATCAAAATCAAACTAAAGCAAACAAAAGATACATGGTACAAAACACTAATGCATCCTCTTATGTTGATGTGGTATCGCAGTAGTTCCTAGAGTGAAATATTGCGGTGTTCATAATGGCCTGGTACGTAGATGTTGTTTCTCCTGGACACCAATATTTGGATGCGTAACTGGGGCCTCACCCAAAAAAGAAGGTACAAACTGAGGTAAGGAGGCGGTGTCAAAGTTTTCTTTGAAGTGGGTCTAAGAGGGACCCAAATTTGGATAGCAGGATGGCCCAACATCTTATGGATCTGTAATCAGAACAGGTAGACTAAACATTATATGTTGAGTATTTGTCTCGTCAAAATAATGAGCATCATCAATGCATATCTATTGGCGCAGTCTCTGGCACATGTCTTCTACAATGTTCACGTCCACCTGCATGGGTGTCTCCTCAGTCACCCCGAAGTATGATTACAATATCCTCTCAATGTTCATGAAGAAATCTCGTTGCACATATTAGTAATTCGGCTTAAGTTTATCATAAAATTAAATTTAATGCTTCTTATATAACTTTAACTTACAATGTGGCGTTCAGCTGGTGATTTAGGATAGTATGTAGTCGAAGGGTCCACAGGGGCCTTTAGCATATATAGTGTCGCCCAAGAACAAAACCATGCTAAGTACTACTTCACTTTATAATCATAGTCCAACCCATGAATCTCTCTTGTAATAATGTATGCTCTCCTTCTCTTCTACAGTGCAATACTTGACTGGTAGTACAAAGCCCAATATGTATCTACCTTACCACATCCATCAACTCTAACAAAATTAAGATCCATTCGCATGATACCGATGGATGAGAAATATCCAAACTGCTGTAGTACTTGATCAAGAAAATGCCAATTTACCCTTTTCAAACTGAAAGGAACTTTAGAGATCCAAATGTACTGACTTGAAGTGCATAGCTTTGGAACTTGTGCACGAATCTCTACGGTGTATAATTCCCATATTACCTGTATTATTAAAGATAGGATAATATAAATATAAATACGAATAAAATTTATAAATATAAATATACTTAACATACCTGACTCTTCAGTAAGCCATCCAACTCATCCATGTACGTCAAAATATTCCGTACCAGTACCTCTTGTAGTCATTCCTCATTCCAGCTAATTCACATGTATTACCATTTTAGTAAATAGCAATAAAAATTCTTAATATAAATATGACTAATTACTTGATGTTAGCACTAAAATCGTCGAGCTGAATTGGAAATGGGATATGAAGTTGAGGTCTCCCAACATGTAGATGCTCTCAAGCCCATATTTGCAGCAAGTGGATGCAGGCTGCTATGTTGGCCCATTCAGGCCTAGTTGTTTCAGACAGCTCCCTATGTAAATGGCTAGAATTGTACCTCCAAGTGAGTATGTCCGGAATATCGCTATTTCCTCCATCAGTGGCAAGTACTATAAATGAATTTTTTAGCCTGAAGTATATGGTAGCATGTGACATCCAAGCAAAAATAAAATGTAAGCCCACACATCTCTAAAAATTCATCTAAAAAAGATCTAGGTATGAGTCCCTCCAAAAAGTCCACCTTAACCATCTCAGTGGAACACATGTCTACGCATGCGCCTGACGCATCCTGAACTTTGCTGAAATCCGTGGGTTGAAAGGGTCATGATACAAAACATCAAGGTCTGGATGCTACCCAAGTAAATCATCATAACAATCTGGCCAACTCAACTATCGTCTGCCTGCACCTACAACTGGGTGGCCAACAAAAGTATGTCCATCAATCTATATCTCTAATATCATTGAAACATCCTGCAATGTGATACTCATTTCACCAACTGAGAGGTGAATAATATTTATCTGTGGCGACCACCTCTCAATCAGAGCAGTAAATAAGTGGTGGTCCATCCTCCTATACCTCTTTTGGCTCACATTATCCAAGCCCACAAAAACCAAAGCCTTCATGAACCTAGGACAGTTGATGAACCACTCATGCACCATCAGCAAGTATGAAGCAGACTCTAATATAGAACCATGTAACAAATAATAGTATTACTTCATATCATAATCAATTGAGAGAAGTATTTTTTTAATAAACTAATTCTTAATTTATTTAAATTTACCTGCTCAAGATGAGATGCTCGGTGGTTACCAACAAGTGAAGAAATGCTAAGATGGTTGGTATGTACAGATGGTTGTGCGGGTGCCTCCACACATGTAGGGAACTTGTGGCGCCCACATCCTCTATCTTGTTCAACTGCCATTATACCTCGTAAGAAAAAAAATATTAGGCACGTATAAAAAATTAGAAATATTCGTGACATTTAAAAAAACATAATAAGCTAAATTACCAAGAAAAAGCATAAGAATTATATAAAATAATAACGTTTATGAAATTATATGAGAAATCATTACAATCACAACCAAATAATATGTTCAAGTGGAAAAAAAAATTGATGACTTCTACAAATTAATCACATGTACAAACAATTGTGGTGTAAACAAATTGCAGTATCATTTCTACAAATTAAACACATTTCATAACAAAAAATATCAAAAGTCATCATATGTAATATATATATATTCTTACTTTTACAAATAAATTGAAATTGCTAACTAATAAAAGGAAAAATCATTATATTTACAAAATAAATATTATGCACACCTAGTAAGACAAATGGCCCTGTTATGTCCTACTGAACTACATGCACTACATTGCATGTTGCATCTAACTTTGCCTCGTTCATTGTGATCCTAAAACGATTTGTTTTAGGTCTCTAATACGTCTTCTAGAATTTGGGCGAAGGAGTGGGTTTATGCCACGTGTTGGATCATATTGTGCCCAACTAGATCGATTTGGAATGTTATGAAATTAATCAACATATGTCATTTTGTAATTGCCTAAGTTGTTGTATTATGAGACATAATTCTGATGATGTTGCTTGAGCATTGAAATACAACTCACTATGTGTGCCCACGTGAAATGATATATAATGCTCTTCCAACAACTACAAATGCAATTTTTATCATTAATTAAATCAACCCTGAAAGATCGAGATTACGTGTCAACCACTTGGAACTCAAGCATATTGATTTGAATAGGTTGTGATAACCTACGTGCTTCATGCTTGATATTTTGTAGTGCGGCTTGTACTCTTAGTGCGAAGGGACTGGTTGCATCAAGTTCAGAACCCTCTAGCATTTCTGTTCTTCGCAAGTGCAATGCTATAACGTTATAGTAAATGGCTATAACCAATGCTTGAACGAGTAAACCCCTAGCTCATTTAAGAACTTCATTGAATGACTCTGACGCATTAGTTGTCATAACTCCATAACGATATCCACCATCATATATTAGAGCCCTGACCTAACATTACGCTCAACCAACCACCGGTGAATATCATCCTTCACTTGTATCATATCTATCATGCACCTACCAAACACCATTGGGTCATCAGTGTTCCCTGCCATGTACATCTTCTGGCATAGAAACTCTACTTCAGCAACACTCATCTGGTGCACTACTTTCTTAAAGTGCTCACATAGGTAGCATAAATAGTGTTGATGTGCAACATTAGGAAATTTTTCATGACAACCATGCACTAAACCAGCATGTCTGCCATATATAATGCATAAATCAATTCGGGTACGAACAACCGAAATGAGTATATGCATTTGGCTCATAAACCACACCCATAAATCAACACATTCGGACTTTACAATCAAGAAGGCAAGGGGGTACAATCCGTTGTTAATAGAAATTAACACAGCAGTAAATAAAGTGCCTCAATATTTACCTAATATGAATGTCCCATCAAGGAAAAGAATATAACGACAGTAGGTCCACCCGTTTATCGAATGGCTAAACAAGAGAAATATTCTCTCAATTTATGATTCTCAGACGTTTGTATCGTATAGACGGTTTCAGGCATCAAACACATAACAGTGTTCATGAATAAATTTATGATTCAATAAGACTCCTCCTAGCTACCAGATACTATCTTCACAGCTTTTCGTCCGGCATCCCAACATTTAATATATGAAACCTTTTATGTTGAACTTCGCTTCAATTTGACATATAATCTCCTGCAGCTTGAGATCCATATATCTTATAATACTGGGTGATATGAAATAGCTTATAAAGTGAGGATTGCATTATCGGTGTCCTATCGTTAGAATCAAAGTTGTGCAGGTATGTTGGTTCTTCATGGAAGATATTTTTCATATGCATCCAATATGTTTGCTCACTCCTGCATGCAAACACCATATACATAGTATGTCTGACCTGTCATTCTAAGCACAAACCACTGTCATTTTTCTGTTCAAAGCTACGACAAGATATTCCACATTATTTATAATTGATCAACCATATAATGCAAACTGAATATCTTCTTTCTTACTAAAACACATACCATCCATCAGCCTATTGAAATTAAAAATTCTTCCTCGACTTGGTTACCAACATATTCACTGCCATTTGCTACGTCCTCATCTCATTCACGAGTGGTGAAATATGCCTTCATAAACTCATTGTTTATAGTTATGTCTTCTACGGTGCAAATATTCAGTAACAATAACATTGAACCATACTATGGATCTCAATGTTCATATCAACATTCACTTCATCTAAATGATATTATACATTATCATCATCATCATCAAGAGCTGGATCGCTCAATCCACTGCTCATAGTTTCATAACCATCATAAACGTTGATCGATGGTCTCTCAAAAGTTCCTAGTGCGTCCTGGAAAAAAAATTTCGCCGTTCACTTCATCACATAAATGATATTTTGTTAACAAAGGTGAATTTTTCAGACAATTATATTTTATTTAATATGCATTTAAATAAAAAACTTACTCCGCTTATTGCGGCACGAAACTTGGATTTCTCAAATGACTTTCTATCACCCCGTCGAAAGTAAATATCTCATGCACTTGAGATATTATTTTCTCAACAACTAAATTTTGTTCGTTAATATCTTCAACCTCTACATAAAATAGAAGTATATGTCCAATTGCATGTGATAACATCATCTGACATACCTCATCATCCTCCACAGATGAAGCTATGAATTCATTCCCAAAGGGCAGACGACAAATCAAGTTCAGTGTGTACTTCGACGTATCATATTCAAGAGCTTTCAAGACCCTAATCTTCGTTAGATCTAATTTCGTCTAAACAGTCACTTATAAAGGTCGGTAACTCCCCGTAACATATGTTGGTGAATATTTATCATCTAAAGACAACAGTCCATCATACATAAGAACAAAACATGCTCTACATCCAGACATTTTTGCGCTACTACATATCGCTTATGATAACCTACAATTAAACTAATAACCTTAGCTCAAAGAAATGAAACAAACAAAGCATTTATCTAAATAATCTTATATATAATATCTTATTTAAAAATAATAATTTTTAAGTAAATTTAACCAAATAAATTTCCAAAAACAAAAAAAAATTCCAAAGTAATAGCTCATTCACCAAATTATTTCTGAGATTCATAAATACTATATGCCTTAGCTCTAAACGTTCAGCTCTTTTTTCCACAAAAAATAGCTCTTTCACTAATATTAAATGCTCAAAAATAGCTCAACAAAAATTTCTTTCACAAAAAATACCAAAATGTTACCTCAAAGAAATGAAACAAGCATAATATGTTTTCATCTCCTACTCATACATTACAAATAAAAAATACCACATCATTCCTTTCTTCCTATTTCGTCATACAAAAATCCCACATTTTAAAATTCACTAACATTACATAAAACAACTTAATCAAGCTTAAACTTCAAAAAATATCCACACAAACTAAGCATGATACAAAAGGAAAATCATTTCAAAACCCAAAATTAAAAATAAAAAAATAAATAAAAAAAAATTACCTAGTTCTCAAGGATCGCTAGATTTCGCAAGCAACTGAACGCACGAACCAATTTTTCGCGACTATGGCATGGGAAATGGGGAGTCACCGGATTGATAAAGTAGCAAGGGTAAGTCGCCCGTTTAACGGGCGACTTTGGAGATTTTTATTTTTATTTTTTTTGTTGGTTAATCCCTTAATTAAAACTTAAACGTTTAATTCAAGTCTACAGTGCTAATAAGATCGATTATCCCCCTCATAGAGAAATTTGAATCCAAGATTTATAATCACCAGCTAGTAAAATTACTTCCCGAAACTTTCGTAAAAGAGGCAATTTTATCATTAGTAGTAGCCACCCAAGGCAGTGGGTTATTTCAGCTGATTTTAATTCCGGTCATGCACTAAGTTTGTGTGCCCTATGAAACTCTATTGCTCAGTCAAGCCTTAACCATAACTAGGGCATATCCTCAAACCAAAACCCAACCTGAAAAATTTTCAACTTCATCAATATAAAAGAAATGGATTCATACGCACAACAGATAGAACAGGTCATTTCAAGTTAACTATGATCAATCGGAGGTTTCTTTCAGCTTAGATGATGTGATATAATAGGAAAAATCTCATAATCCTCCATGGATGAAGACTAATATTATCGAAAAGAATTCATAATCTACATTTATTGAACAGTAATAAAAGGAAAACATTCAACTCACTGGAACCAACTCTTTAATCCAGACAAGCAAATGGATGAGATTTGAACATGGACGAAACTTCTTTCTGCCAAAATAGCTAAAGCTGGAGTTCTTCATTTCTGTCCATTTCTTGCTGAACTTCTAAATCGATAAAAACAAATACCTGGAAGGTTCACTTGAGTGATTCCCAAAGCACTCCAAGATCAACATTACCTCCAGAGAGAACGATCGCAATTTTCCTCATGTCCTTCCAATAAGGCTTCTGCTTACACTGATCAGAGAGAATAGCAGCAAGGCCAATGGCTCCACTTGGCTCCACAGCCAACTTAAGAACCTCGTAGCAAAGCCTCATGGCTTTTATAATCTCATTTTCATCTAAAACGACAATATCATCCACTAAATCACGGACCACTGGCCTGAACACTTTGCAACAAACACAAATCAACAAAGAAAACAAGAATATTTCTATGACTGGATAACCAGGCTTGATAATTTTAACGGTCTTTATTATTTTGATTATATTTTTAAGTAAATAAATGCTGTCAAAATATATATACAAAATTATACATTTCATTTATAAATTAGGATATTATATAAGGAAATATAAAGTTTTAAGTATTAGATACATACATATTTATAAATTAAATACACATATGTAAATCCCATTATAGTTTATCGAAGTGGTAAGCTAAGTGATATTATTTCACAGAAGTCAGATATAAGAAATTATGATACTAAGATTTTGTTCTGGTTACCACGTCAAGTCCCCGAGAGAAGCTCGGAGACCATCTGCTATTGTATTTGTATCAGATAGTGTGATGAGTCTTCCAGATAACTTGGACCTGGCAGCATCGTCAGCACCCATCGGTTCAGCAGCCAAAACACGAATGGAGGGATTGATTGACTTGGCGGCCAAGGTAACCCCAGATATCAAACCACCGCCTGTAATTTGATATTACAAGTATGTCAAATGGTTTTAGAATAGCTAAAAAGTATATGAAGGCTTCGTTTGGGACGGTTTTTTTGCTGCTTCTTAAAGCAGTTTTCAAATACAAAATTTCAAATTTTGTACTAGAAATTTGTTTTAAGAAGCATTAAAAAAACCGTCACAAACAAAGCTGAAAGCTTTATGAAATAAGCGAGGCCTTTCTGACTTTTTAGTACAAACCACTAATAGGAACTATTATGGTATCAAGATCAGGTACTTGCTCGAGCAACTCTAGTGATATGGTGCCTTGTCCACTGCAACAAAAATATAAAACTAGTCATAAAGCATCAATTGTGTCATTTCTTCTCATAAAATCATCAGCTTCACAAAAACTTCAAAAACAAGAAAGTTATTGTAACCCAGAATGCGTTGATTTAAAACCAGTTGTAGCATACAGCTTGAATTAGTAAAATGAGTTATCTAGTAAAACATCATCAACCTTGTGGATGCATAATTTAAATTTAGTAAGTCATTTGTGAGTCATGTGACTTTATATGTTATTATTAGATTTATCAGGTCATTTAGTAGGTTTTTATGGGTCATATATAGCTAAATAACTCTCCATCGAGAGAATCAGAGCATACAAATAACTCTCTCTCTCTCTCTCTCTCTCTCTCTCTCTCTCTCTCTCTCTCTCTCTCTCTCTTAATTAACTACAGTTTCAAGCATCCTCAAATTGCCTAAACCATCTTTTCCCTTGATACCTAAAATTTTAGGCAAGCTCCAAGTTGCCTACGTATCCCTATATTTGATCTTTTTCTTTATTTGCTGTGATTTAATGGTTTTATTCATATTAAATTAAGTCTTGCAGAGATGAGGATGCTCAAGTGGATGAATGGCTTAACACTCAGAGACAAAATATAAAATGATTAACAATGAAAAAATTAATAGAATTTGAGATAGGAGGATAATTAATATTACAAGTGTTTATACTCCTCGAGTAGTTTTGGATATATATTCAAAATTAAAATTTTAAAATGATTTAGAAGAATTAAAACAAAGTTTACCTCTTTTTTTAAAAAAATTATTGGTGGAGATTTAAATGGACATGTTGGTAGAGGGGTAGAAGATTTTAAGAGCGGTTATGATGGATGTGAGGTTGGAATAATTAACAAAGGTGATAGGATCATATAAGATTTTGTTCTAGTTTATGGTTTTATAATTGTTAATATTTTATTTAAGAAAAGAGATGAGCATATCATCGCTTATAAGAATGGATATAGTAAAACTCAAATTAATTATTTTCATATAAAAAATAAATTGTTTAGATTGCAAAGATTTTGTAAAGTTGTTTCAAGTAAAAGTTTATGTACCTAATATCTCTTATTAGTTTTAAACTTTAAAATAAAGTGGCTGAATAGAAAAACAAACTAAAATGTTATTCTAGGATTATATGGAAGCATTTAAAGAGAACTAATAAAAATATTTTTAAGAGTAAAATTCAAGATCTATTGACCTCCGTACTTGAAATCCCATCGAACTCGTGCTTAAATCCCGCCGAACTACTGTATACGCAGCGCCGTTCGAGTCTCTTCCCGCAAATCCCTCAACGTCGCTTTGTTTTTGCACTCCCATATGTCTATTAAAGTAGCAACAAGCGGAGGAGTTCGGTTCTTCGGCTCCACGCTCAAGACTTCGGCACCTTGCTCTCCTCTTCCATTCGAAAAACCTTCGATCTCCAAGCCTTTCGTGAATGCCTCTTCCGATCCAAATCTCGTTTCCTTCCTATGCTGAAGCAGAATATCCTGTAGCCCTTCCACATCAAAACCACACCTCCGATCTAGCAAGCATTCGATCCTTCTTGCACTCGAGGCTATTGAAACCTGCCCGATCTCTGTGCGCGAACCTCTATGCTCTCTTCATCTTTGCCCATACAACAGCCGAACTCTAGCTCCAATCCACCTCATGATTCAATACCTCCTCCCTCGACTTACCTCAGCCGCACCTCTCAATCTCTTGTGCAAACACCAAAGCCGACCTAGCTCCGCCCGTCAGCGTCTTCCCTATTCCAGCCGAGCCACTTGTCGCAAGCCCTAGTAGAACCAATCCCTCTGCACTTTACCGCCTCCCATTCATGAGAGCTACACGACCTGTATATCTTACTCCCTCATCCAGACGAAGCCGCAGACCACCCTCTACCAAAACCCCCTTCCTCTCTTCCTATCAGAATCAACCCACATTATTATCTTTCCTAACTCTTCCACTCACTTAGCCCATCTAACCCCAAAACAGCCCAATGCTAATAAAACTCTCTCTTGTATAAATATAAGTATGTGTGTGTGTAAATAGTTACATCGCAAAAAGAAAAAGGAGAAAGAAAGTATGATACAAAAAATGATGAAAGTGATGAGCAAAAAAAAAAGAAGAGTGTGTTCTCTTTTTGTGCCCTCCACCTTGTCGTCGTCGACGTCGCACATGTATAACAGTTCAAACTCAAAAAACTCCAAAGTCATGTTTTCGGCATTTGCGGGGCGCCAAGGAACCCCCTATACAAGCTTTTAATAGTGTAATGGGAGGAAACCTGGTGCGGCACTTATGGAAAGGTGAGCGAGCCTCGTGCGCAATTTTCTTAGCACGGCGGGGCAAAATATATGTACCCATATGCGCCTCAGTGTCGGCAGGGAAACAACTGTGCGTTTTCAAACAGGTTACCTCGAAGACCCATGCACGCATTTCTTGGCGTGGTGGGATTGAAGACTATGGCGGCGGTGTCACCCGACACCAACCGTGTACGTCTTTCTTGACATGGCGAGCAGGTTAAGACTCGTGTAGTTTCGCCTAACTGGGGGAGATGCCAAGAGGCTGCCGAAATTCAATCTAAAGACACAGAACTCAAACGATAACGTGGGGCCTGATTTGAAAGGGATAACATATGACTTGTAAATTTACAAAATGAATAGGGGACTTAAAACTAAACAATTAGCAAGAAACTTCAATTTGCAAAATGAATAGTAGGGGACTTGTATGAACGGTTGGGGACTTGAACAAAATGCACAGGGAATTGAACCTTTAAATGAATAAATGCACTATCACATTAAAAGTACAAATGTCAAGTAATAATCACGAGCATTCACACGAACATCAATGAACAAGTACAAGGACTTATGGTTTCTAACACAACTCGCTCGCAAGCAAAGATGAAATTGAAGATGTAATAGCTTGCTTGCAAACAATGACTAGCAGTGGACAAGAATCCTACATCCCACTCAAAAGCAACAAGTATTATGAAGATCAATGAGTAATCAGAAAAATCATGATGGATAAATTGCCAAACACCTGCTTACAAACTAATGTCAATAAGCCACAATCAATCTGAAGGGAGCATATAACATGAATGTAGGCAACTCGCCTTAATTATAGATGGCACATTCATGAGGGATATATAAAGAATGTGTAATGAATACATCAATATCCTGCAGCCAATACCAATATAGAATGGGCATGCAAGCTAATGCATGGAATTCTTAATAAGCACCATGGGCTTGTGAAAGATGTTAATTGAATGATGCTCATGCTTATGAAAGGAGCCTGATAACTGCAATGAACACAATAATGTGTCCATAAGTATAGTATGAAGAATGAATCAGCAAGTGTAGCTGCATTTCTACGATTGACACTGGTTGACATACAAATAAATACATCAGTATTCCACAAATGTAAGACTGGTGTGCAATAAATATAAAAGTGCTATGTGGTCAACATCAAAACACAATCAAGCATATTCGACCCCACAAGCAGAGGGACTTGACATGCAATCAATATGACAATTTACCCGCAATTATGCACAAGGAGTGCAACGCAACTAGAAATTAAGGGTAGGAAGTTATGATGAAGATAAACCACTTACAATCAGCAGCCGTTAGCCAACATACACGTGCACTAATATGCTGATGAGTAATGAAAGCAAATAAACTATGAATGTAATAATCTCCCTACGATCGATATTAGCTAGCTTGCATATATATGTTGCGAACTTTGTGAACGCTGAGGTTTAATGCATGGTGAAAGTGGCAACTTACCAGCTAATGCGTACAAGAAAATCAGCAGTGCAGCAACATTCCTACAGTCGACGCTGATCAACCCGCAAGCAAATTTAACAATTTCTAATGAATAAATGAAAGTCAATACACAAGCGAATGCACTAACTTACCTGCAAACAGTAAATTCCCTTGCAAATATACATAATGCAACATACGATGAATGCTAATGTCAGCTGATAGCGATAGAAGATGTGTCTTATGCATAATAATGCACCTACTGGTGATGATCAACAATAACAGACACGTCGCAAGAATGACGGATTCTCTGCAAACACAAATACACCCACAACAAGCTATTTATGAGTAGATGCATGAGTTCCTGCAAGCAAAGGAAATTGACATGCAACGAATGCAATGTCTACAAGCAATGACGGTTTATATGGTTTATTTGAGAATAACAACTAAAGTGCTATGAGTACGAAAGATCACAGGAGGATACAAATGTATATGGTATCTACAAACAAGAACCAAAGACCCGTAGTGAATACAGACACCTACAAGCAATTGTAAGAAGCTCGTCATGCATATAATAGCTAACCTACAAGTTAAAGAGATGATGACAGTAAGTCCTGCAATGCATATAGAGTTCCCATCTACCAACAATGAGGGTGAATACGTCACAAATATGATGAGTCCCTTATGAATGTATATGCACACAACACATCATCCAAAGATAAAGACAACATGTCTACAGTATGTACAAATACCTACAAGTCGTGGTAGCCAAAGGTAGTATAGCTGCAAGACGCATATACAAGGCACATACGAGCTGTTGTGGCACACTCACATGTGACAGCCATACAAGAGCAGTCAAATACACTGACCTTCACGCAAGGGGGACATATCTAAAGCAAGTGCAAACTTCTATGAGCCGCTATAGAAGACCCTTCTTATGCAAACATGCAATTTACTATGTCAATAGAGAGAAGCGAAAGCAAATACCAACGATTTACAAGCTAGCACAGAAGCTTGTGATGAATGCAGATATCTACCTACATAAGACCACAAGCAAACCATAGCTGCAATGCCACACCATCGGATCTGCAACGTGCATACAAGCGAACATAAGGCGTCTATAAACTCTCAAATAGAGCATTGTGCACGTTTAAAAGACGGTAGCTTGCACGACCAATCAATGTCAAATATTATCGGATCTGCAACATGCATACATGTAATCTCAACAGATAAATCAGAAAAAAATTCTTCGGAAACAAACGAATGAGATGCACTAGAATAAAAATGAACTCTGCCAAACTTATTAGAAATTAAAATTATGCATGTAACTACTTACTCTGAATCTTTAGCTTCCTGAGGTGTAATAACAAACACTCAAGCTTTCATTGGTTGATTACCTTTAACCTCTGATGCTTCTCCTTTTAACTGAACTGGTGATTTCTCTTGCACTGCTGAACTTCCCTGAAATTGAGTTTTTTCTGCCTGATTGCCTTGCAGACATCTCCTATATCGTACCTGCTCTTGATACCCTTGATATCCCTATGGCCTGGCATTGGTTCTTCTCTCTTGAGGGCAATCCACCTTGCAATGACCCAACTCACTACATCTGAAACATCTTCTAGATCCCACCAAACACTAGCCAGAATGTTGTTTCCCACACTGCTCACACAAAGGTTTTTCAAGATGGCTATGCTTTTGCTTATCCTCAAACCTTGGCATCTTATTTGTGAATCGATCATCCTTTTCAAATATCTTCCTTTTACCTATTTGTTGTTGCTCCAAACTATGCTTAGAAAGATGCAGCTCATTTTCAATTCTTCTGACTCTCTCCACTAAGACTGAGAACTTATTAATATCACAAGGGGTCAATGCTTGTTGCAGTTGATCCCTAAGGCCTCTCAAAAATCTATGACATTTCTTCTCCTGGGTGCTGACATAATGAGGTGCATAATTGGACAAAGAAGTGAACTCAACTTCATATTGTATAATTGTCTTGGAACCCTGAGTTAGATTGAATAATTTGTCTTGCATATCTAGTTTGGCTGATGGAGGAATGAATCAATCTCTAAAGACTTTCACAAAATCATCCTACTGTATGTTAGTGATAGGCATTTGTCCAAATTTTTTCTCTATATTGTGCTTGCACCACCTTTCCACCTCGCCTTCTAGAACAAACGTAGCCAATGGTACCTTTATCTTTTCAAGACAGATCATGCCATCTAAGATATTACTTATCTTTAACAACCAATCTTCAACTATCGTTGGATCGCTTGCACCTTTGAAGGTGACGGTTTAAAAGTCTGAAATAATTTCAAATGTCGATCCACCTCACTACCTCTTTTAGATTTGGGTCCACTGCTAGTAGGAGATCTCTTCATATATGTCATTTTATCCACCATTTGTGAGATGAAATGCACAATATCTTGAAGTTCCTTAAACTTATTTCCCTCATTTATTCTTGTTTTTGCGTCTGTCTTGGATGACTAACTAGTCATTCTTTTTGGTAATTCCTCATACATATGTATTTGAAAACATATATATATACACTGCAGGAAAATGCATCATTACGACGAACTTTCCGATGGACTGTTTTACGCCAGTAACACCAGCACACGTACCGGCAGAATATGCGTTGGTAATTTAACGGCGCATTATCCGGCTAAATTTTCACCGTAGAAATATCAGCGCATATTCTGTCGGTTTTTCGCTGGCATTTCTTAGTTGTTTGGCGCATATTCCACCAAACACTGGACAGAATGTTGTTTGATAATGTAATTGGTGATGTTCTTGATCTAAAGTGGTTGTATGAATATATAGTATTGTTGTATTTTTTTCTATGCAAGTTTAATTGTGGAAATCAATTTTAAAAGAGGAAGGTTGTTTTTTTATGCTACAGGTTTCCGGCAGATTATCCACCGGAAACAATGACGGTAATACGATACAACGATATTTTTGGCGAAAATGTGCGCCGTTACTTCCGTCGGAGATTGCAACGATAATGTACGTCGGTAACGAAACGACGTCAACTAGCCGGCAGATTATGTGCCGGTATTTCCAACGTATGATTTTCGTCGGAATTACCGACGTATCTTATGCCGGAATACGAAAATGAAAAAGACGTCGAATGCTCTTCTTTTTTCGCCAGCATTTCGCCAGAAGAATTGCCATAAATATTTCCAGCAAAAAATATTCATCGGTGCTTTCTTTCCGACGCGCGAATTACCGTAAGAAAAATTTGAGTCGGAAATGCACCGGAAAGGTGATATTTCCAGCGTATTTTGATTGTTACCGGCGGATTCCATCTGCCGGTAATAGTGTGTTTTCCTGAGTTATATATATATATATATATAATATATTATATATATATATAATATATATATATTATATTATATATATATATATATATATTATATATATATATATATATATATAATTTGATCATTTAAATATTAAACCATATTATGCATATGTGTTGGTTCAAATCTATTAGATGAATACACAATTTAATTCAACCTCAATCCAACCTACAGCTCTGTATAAATTAGATTTATTATATCTCATCCTACTTCATTGTCTAAATAAAATTATGCTTCCATTTTATTGTGATTTGACTTTGATAACAATTTTTGTCACACCCCATTTTGACCCCCCCCCCTCCTAAAATCAATTTTGAGTGTGAAAATATAAATAGACCTCTTCTTACTGGCACCTATTCTGAACTACTTCTATCTGAATCAGATGGATAAGAAAATAATCTATTCATGCTCTCCTAACATATCAAACTTTATACCTTCTATCCGGAAGCATATTTAAAACATCTCAAATAAAATACATCAAATATTATACAGAGCTTTACTAAACTTTTTAAATTTACTTATCCCAAAAGTTTGTACAGCTCTTATTCTTTGTACAGCTCTTATTCAAATTTCTTTATATCCCAAAACATATATGTACACAAAAGAGTAGCTCATTATTCTAACTACTACCCCACTAGTTCCTTCCCCTTGCCTGCAGTACAACCATTACTAATGAGATAATGCTTAAAAAAATACACAAGCAATATATAAGAAATAATAATAATAATATTTTAACAATTAATTTAAAACAAATATAAATTCCATATTGGTTATAAGAAATTTATAACATTACTTTCTGTCATATTTATTGTTTAACACTTTATACAAGTCATATAATGGCTATAGGCTTTTGCACTATTCCAGCTTACTAATTCAAGGATGGATCCGAATTCTCAACTTTTAATATTGAAGCTTCTCTCATATTTAAGGTAGGATCCGAATTCCCAACTGTAGAATTTCGAAAGTACAGAATTACCTCGTCAGATCTTTCGTTTTTACTTGTGTGAGTCTATCCCTCATATATGACTCATCTCCTTTCTAATACATCTCACATTCTTATAAGAAGTACTATTGTCATAAACATTTGATAAATCAATAATTGTATACATAAAAAAATAAGGGTGATGCTCTCATACTCATATCAATGTAATATTGCAATTAGATAAAATTTTATTATTTCCTATGGCCTTATTTGGGTATCTCACCTTGTTAGGAATTGGTTCTCCTAGATCTTGCTTTCTTTTCCTACACTACCTCCATTAAACTTCTCATTCAGCAATAACCTTTTCTTTATTTCGAAAATTCCTTTCTATTTCCTTATATAGGTCAAATGCTGGGTCAATGTTCCTTGGAAAAATATTTTTGAGCTTGGGCGTTCTCTTTGTCCTTAATGTTTCTGTAGCCCTTCTTCAGCAACACTTACATTTTCAAATGTTTTTTAGCTTCAAAAGCTCAATTCGATAGCACAAGTAAAATTGTTTTTTTCCTTAAGAGTTTTACTTGTATTTATTTTTGAATTTAATATTAAGTAAGCGTTTAGCTCCTTATGTCCGACTTCTATATCTTCAAGAAAGTAATATTAGCTCAAGGAATTCACTACCTAATTAAGCAGCATAGAATGATAGTTTTTCTCTAAGGAAAGCCCTAGCAGTAGTAAATTTAAAATAAGAAGTCATTTAATTAAAGTTGTGAAGTTTTTGATAGGAAATACTTGATTTCAAGTATTCCCTAATCACTTTAGCAACAAATCTCAAAGCGAACTGCTGTCCACAGCAGGAAATCAGCCAAAAACAGTAGAAAAAGAGAGGAAAACTGCAGGAGATGAGGAGAAAACACGGGTATTTTACTAGTAGACAATGAAAATAGCAAAGATACAGTTTGTTCTTCAATTCGAGAGGAAGAACAACTCTCCAAAGTTCTCCGGCGAAGCCAAGAGCCCAAGCACACAAACCCTAGATCTCAACAGAGAATTCAAATCCAAGATGAGGAGCTAATTCCCCCCAAACTCCTAATTATACAAAATTAATCATAAAGGACAATCATAAACTTCCTAAAACAGCCTCTCACGTTCAAATTTTCCCTCCTAAACTCCCCCCAAAGGCCCACGCGGAACCTCACGGTTCCGCTCCCCCTGCTATTCTCCACCTGGAATAGAATTGGACCGGTCCCTGTTGGACCGGTCCAGCCGGCCCAGGATGGGCCGGTCTAACAGTTTTATGATCAGCAATCAACCAAACATCGGACTCGACCATTTCTTCAGAGCTTGGGACTATCATATAATAAAGTCCATTTTAGTTTGTAGTCTTATTAATTTGTCATAAATTAGACTCCTCTCTCACTTGAGGATTTATACATGGTCTTGTCAGAACCATAAAATGGATTTCCCTTAACTGGAAAAGATTAGAGTCTTTCATCTTGGTAGTTACGCCTTAACAAAACAGATAAAAGTTTTTCTCTCACCCATCTTTCACCATCCATTACAAAGTTTAAATGAATTTGCTTTTTTGCTAGTTCGAATCTTTATCATTCAAACATTTTTATGAATGGTGAAAGAAGCATGAGAAAAAATGCTTCTATCCACCTAATATCGGTCAATCTTACATATAAGGGTTCGTTTGGGATGGTTTTCTTACTGCTTCTTAAAGCTACTTTTTTGTTAAAAATAAAATTTTTTGAAGAATTTCAACTGCGTACCTTATGATGCGCTTATCATTAAATGGATGGATCAGATTGGCACCTGTTCTTTGCTGCACCGCTGTGGCGGTGCTCTCCCTAGATTGCATAGTTGCTTCACTCCAAATGACCTGACCACCATAGCGTCGGACATTCTCAACCTTACATGCTGGAGCATTTTTTGGTATAACAACATAAGCGGGAATTCCACGAAGTTTTGCAGCCAAAGAAATTGCTGCAGCATGATTGCCACTATATGCAAGAGAGCATAAGAAAGTTTGTCGAAATAAAAAGTTGAGGCCATAATTAAATTGGGATCACGAATCCATTCTTCAGAAACTTATAGTACTAGAGTGGAACCTGCTATGGGTAACAACCCCTTTAGCGGCCTGATCATCTTCCAGCGAAAATATAGCATTTGAAGCTCCCCTAATTTTAAATGCTCCTCTGAAACAAAGATGCACTATTTCAATGCGCTGATCTCTTTCATACAAAAACAAAAGTGCAGAAAAAAGCTTTTACAAATTACGAGGAAGATTATGTCCATCAAATTATTATGCATTTATAAATCCAACACTTTGATTTTTATATTTACTTCTATACTATTATAATCTCTAAATAAAATAAAAATATCATAAATATTAACTTATCTAAAGCAAAATAAACATTTTCATGGATGGATTTTAATGTCATTTAAACACTAGGGTGGTATGCAAGCAAATGAAATAATTCAAGTGTTGATACAGAAAAACATGAGAATCTAATTGTATGTACGTAATGCCCCATTAAAATAATAAACTGCATAAAAAATTGAGTAAGCCAAGAATTTAGAAAAAAATTGTATCACGGTGTCTTGGGCGTTCCTAGGAAGCGACGCATTGTATGGTCTGAATACAACGAGAAATGTGCAAGGGCCACTACATCGATGCTCAGGTGAAGTTTTAAATAGGCAAGGGTTCATACATTATGGATAGATGTGGGCAAAAAAGCTAATCCATGAAGCTAACATTCGAATAGGATCTTAAAATGTAGGTTTTCTTACAAACAAATTAATGGAATTAGTTGATATTATGATTCATAGGAATAAATATTTTATGCATTCAAGAAACTAAATGAGTTGGAGAGAAGGCTAAGTAGATTGATAGTTTAGGATGTAAACTTTGATATTCTAGTAGAGGTAATATTAGAAATTGTATATATATGATTATAAATAAGAGTTTGAAGAATAATTTTATAAAGAAATTATAGAATTAGAAACAAAATTATAGCTATGAAGATTATTGTTGATACTATGATTATTATTATTATAAGTTTTTATGATCCCCAAGTAAGTATGGATATGTGTTTAAAATTAAAATTTTAAAATGACTTAGAAGAATTAATTCAAAAGATACCTCTTAAAGAAAGTTTTTATTAAAGGGGATTTAAATGGATATGTTAATAGAGAGGTATATAATTTTAAAAGTATTCATGGTGGCTATGAATTTGAAACGACTAATGAATATGGTAAAACTATATTAGATTTTACTCTAGTTTATGATTTTGTAACTAATAATATATTATTTAATGAAAGATATGAGTATCTCATCACTTATAAGAATTGATATAGTAAAATTCAGATTAATTATGTTCTTATAAAAAAAATAGATCTTTTATATTGCAAAGATTGTAGAGTTATTCCAAGTGAAAGTTTATGTACCCAGCATTATTTAGTAGTTTTGGACTTTAAGATGAATGTGCAAAATATGAAAAATATAATAAAATGTTATTCTAAGATTAGATGAGAATATTTAAAGAATACTAACAAAAATATTTTTGAGAGTAAGATTCGAGATCTTAAGATTTTGTTTGAGCATGAGGAAGCGAATGCTATGTGGAAAAAAGTAACTAGTAATATTAAGAATGTTACAAAGAATGTGGTTGAAGTTTTAAAAGAAAAGCTCCTGATAATGAAAATAATTTGTGATGGAATAAAAATGCATAAGAAAAGATAAAAAATAAAAAACTTTATTATAATAATTGATTTTGATGCAAAAACTCTAAAAATTAAGAAAGATATAAAGAGACTCGTAAAGTGTCTAAGAAAGCAATCTGCGATGCAAAGATATTAGCTTTTAATGATTTACATAATATATTAAATTCTAAAGAGGGTTAAAGATATATGTATAAGTTAGCCAAAAGAGATAGTAGTAAAGATTTAGTTCAAGTGAAGTGCATTAAGGATGAAGATCAAAAAATGCTTTTTTAGATGATATTCAATAAAACTGGATAGTATATTTTGCTAAGCTTTTCAATGAATATTGTGAGAATACGATTGACTTTAATGACTTTAGCACTCTAAATAAAAATAGAGATTTTTATTTTTATCGATGTATTAGTCAAACTGAAGTTAGAGAGGCTTTAAAGAAAACAAAGTGTGGAAAAACTATTGTACCTAATGATATTCCAATAGAGGTGTGGAATGTTTAGGAGATGAAGGAATTTATTGGCTTACTAAACTTTTTAATATTATTTTTTAAGTCTTAAAATATATTAGATGAGTGGAGAATGAGTGTCTTGATTTCTATTTTAAAAATAAAGTTGATGCACAAGATTGTGTAAATTATAAAGGAATTAAGTTGATATGTCATACTTTAAAACTTTAAGAGTGCGTTATGGAGCATAGGTCTAGTATGGAAGCTATTCATTTATTGAGAGTGTTGATGGAGAAGTTAAGAGAGAATAAGGAGGATCTCCATATGATATTTATTGATTTAGAGAAATCATATGATAAAGTTCTAAGAGAAGTGCTATGGAGAGTTCTAGAAAAGAAAGGGATTAATAATTCTTATATACAAGTCATTAGGAATATGTATGCAGGAGTTGTTACTTGTGTTCAAACATAAGGTGGTTTGACCAAGTATTTTCCTATTTTAGATGGATTACATCCAGGATCAACCTTAAGCCCTTATCTTTTTCTTTAGTCATGGATGTTCTTACTATACATTTGCATGAGGATATATCCTGTGTATGTTTTTTTCTAATAATATTCTTCTTGTTGATAAGACTAGAGAGAGAGTTGAAAGTAAACTCAAATTATTAAGGTCAACCTTAGAGTATAAAAGTTTTCGTTTGAGTAGATCTAAAACCAAATACATGGAGTGTAATTTTAGTAGTAATAGATCTAGTGGAGGGCTTGTGATTTTGAGAGATCAAATCAATAATAAGTGTACTCGTTTTAGATATATTTGGTCTATTGTTCAGAGTAATGGTGAAATATATGGGGATATTATTAGTAGAATTCAAGTTGGATGGTTAAAGTGGAGGAATGCTTCGACTTTGTTGTGTGATAGAAAAGTACCACTCAAACTTAAGAAAAAATTTTATGAGATGGTGATGAGACTTGTTATGCCATATTGAGCAAAAATGTTGGCCATTAAAAGAAAAGCATAATATTAAATTAAGTGTTGCTGAGATGAGGATGCTCAGGTGGATGAGTGGATTTACTCTTAGAGATAGGATACGAAACGAGCATATCCGTGAAAAGGTTGGAGTAGTTCTAGTGACAAATAAGGTTAGAGAGAGTCGCCTTAGATGGTTTGGTCATGTAAAACGGTAGCCTTCCGATGACCCTATTAGGAGAGTAGATGTATTAGATTTAGCCTATGTTGAGAAAGGTAAACATAGACCTAAAATGACTTGGTTAGAAAATATTAGAAATGACCTTTCTTTATTAGATTTAAATAAGAATTCGACTCTTAATAGGATATAATGGAGAAAAATGATTTATGTAGCCAACCCCGCGTAGTGGGATAAAAGCTTGATAACGTTGTTGTTGTTGTAGGATGTCTTGACACAATTTATATTAGAATGGAGTTAAAATTTATTAAATTTATTTTGAGATTAGTTTTAACTATGATATATTTTTATTACACTTATTTCAAATTCAATTTAAGAATTCATAAATTTATCCTAATAGGCTGATATAACTTGTACCATGATACCCTCACACAATTTTTTTTTTAATAAATAGCATAAAGCCACTTACCCCTTTTGAAAGCATTCACACTTGAAACACAACTGTTTTCCTGAAATAGAATCCAATGATGTCGAGGAGAGAACTGGAGTCTTGTGAATAAAGGGGCTAATGCGAGTGTGTGCCTCCTTTATGGAATCAATATCAGCAGCATATTTTTTATTCTTCAACTGGTTGACTCCCTCCATTATAACAAAAATAATCTGCGATTGCACAATTTTCTCATCATGCAAATTGGAAGATACTATTACATAAAAGCAGAGAAAAGGGAATATCATTAGTTAAACACTAAGACAAACTGCAATGCTGCTAAGATATGAGCGATTTTTCAATTTTAATCATACTATTTCATTTCGAAAATAAAATATTAAATAAAGCAATGGGTTAACATCCATTATTGACTGGAAGTTAGATTTCATGGGAGTCATTCATGGAAAATCATACTGCCTTTCTTTTTATAGAAACAGCAAATGCTATAAAAATGTATAACTAAAGGAAATTTTCCTGATCTTTCGTTCCATATCCAAATGCAAAGTGACAAAGGAAATGTATACACAACTTATCTTGGTCTGTTAGTTGGGAGCTTTGCTACAAATCAAGAGGTCTTGGGTTCGAGTCTTGAATATGTGATGTGTGTGTAAATTTATCTTAATTGGCCTAAATGTGCTAGAAAAAAGAAGATGTATAACTATTAAAATTGTCTATTTGCTGCTCAATTATTTTTTATGCACCATTCGCAAGATTAAGAACAGAAACTGAAGGTATTGTGCGTCCAGGAATCACTGGAGTTTATCCAGTAAGTCACGCTCAGATCTGTATATTTGATCCAGAATAAAGAATAAAAAGTCCATGCAACAAGCTTCCAATGAATTTCTATTTTAATTTGACAAGGGAAAAAAAATATTTAACTTCAGCAATCAGTCCTAAAACCTACATGCCTAAAATGACCTAACTACTGATAATCCGTTGCCCCCATCACAAATATAAACTGTTTATATTATTTGGTAGAAAGTTAAATGCAATGATTGCATATAAATTCCGGAGAAATAACACAGTATAACCGTGAGGAAAACAAAAATAACAGAGTGATCAATGATTGCACATAAATTCCGGAGAAATTAACACAGTATAACCGTGAGGAAAACACAAAGAAATTGAAATCAGAATGCCCTAAGTTTGGAAATCAGGCATTCCAAACTCTCGATCCTGGGTATGGAAATCCTTTCAAAACAAGGCTTCTTGTTTAAACTAGAGCATCTATGTGGGGAACCAACCCGTACTTTCTCGGTAGTGCAGCTCACTGAATCATCCGTTCATCGGTTCATGTCCGCGTCTTCTCTTTGGATAGGCTTACTTAATAAGTGTTATTTCCCTTTATGTTCGGAGAAGTCTCCGTAGTGACTAAGGTCAATTTGATTCAATTGACCCATTAAAGTTCAAATGAGTTAAATAAAATTCATTGGGCTTAAGTGGTCCAATAAATGGATCGATTGGCGTCATAAAGATGTGGTTTATCTAGGGGCATCTTATGCAAGCTTAAGAGTCCATTAGATTACATAGTCTTGTAGTTCAAAGGTGGCTTGGTCAAATTATTAAGAATTTAATTAAGTTAAATTGGAGTTTTTTGCTCACTAATTGGCCTTCTCATGGGCAAATTATTAGATCCGGTCATCGAACATATTTATTTGTCCTGACATCCACTAAAAATTTGCCACGTGGACTGGGCTTTGACTCAAAAAAATGTAGTCAAAAGCACAGGTAAAGCGCGAGTAAAGTGCAGGTAAAGCGAATGTAAAGCGCAGGTAAAGCACAGTCAAGAAAACGCAGTCAAAGCGCACCTAAAGCGCAGTCAAAGGCAATCAAAGCGCACAGTCAAAGCGCAGGCCACGTGGCAAGTTTTTATTGGATGTCCGGACCTATTTCTAGGTCTGGTGACCGGACCTAATAATTTGCCCTTCCCATGGGGTCAATCAAGATTTATGGGTCCTATTTGAACTTTAAAAGTCCTAAGGAAGCTCTACTGTTAGTTGGAGAAAAATGAACTACATAATTTAAAATTTATATGTTCATAATTAAATATGACATTAAGAACCGAAAAGTAAAAATGATATCCTTCAATATATTTCAAAATATAAATAGGATTTTAAAAAAATATCTAACTTGCTACAATTTTTCCCCACCTCCTATAAATAAGATAGACTTTATTTTATTCTGGAGCATAGATTACTCATAAAGATAAGCCCTTATAGTTAATTATAAGTCAAAAAAATACGATATCTAAATAATACTCTCAATTAAAATAGTGACAAATATTTTAAGTATTTAAAAGTTTAGACAAGTTATTTTATTTGAGAGTTTCAAATAAGATTGCTTAAATTTTTGAACACTTCTTTTAGGGACTAAATTTTGAGAAGTTCAAAAATACTCCAAACTATTCTATATTGGTCTTTAAAGTTTTAAATTTTGAATTTATTATTTAAGTTTATCATTTTATTAGAACTATGACATTTAAATTTCATCAATATAAGATTGAAAAAAGCCTAGGAGATGAGGCTTGCAATATAATAAATCTACCTCAGACTCTAATGCAAAGGTAAACATTATAGAGTAGTAATACGAACCTATATTTAAAGAAATGCAATGGGAATTATAACGTTTGCTTCATCAAGAGTTTAAGAAAGTTTGACACTTCTAAACTTACGATCCTTCATGGAGAGCACTGTTGGTTAAACCAACTTAATCATTTTAAAATCATGATGTCAAAGTCTCTATACAATGCATGATAGGATATGCTACTGTTATGTAGGAATTTGGGGCTTACAACTTAGCCACCAAGCTTAGCTCCCTAAGTATGAAGGGTATGTATTGCTTCTAGCTAGTGTAAAATATTCATTTTAGTATTTTATTTTGCACTTAGAGTGCTTTGTAAATCTTTTTTCTTCCTAGATATCATTTAAAATTATTTTATTTGATTTATTTGTGTCATAGAAAGAGTATTTAATCTAGAAAATCTACATCAAAATGAAATCAAGCTTTCTTAATTCAAGCATGTAAACTCTATGTATCATACCTATTTCAATATTCTATTTATGTAATCAAAATTCAAATAAATTATAAATGTACATGTATGCCAAAACTCTATCATACAATAAAACTGTACACCCAAAATATTAAAACCCACAACTTAATTGGGTTCTACTTAGTCAATTCCTTCACAAGAAATAATTTTTAGCATAATAGGGCATGAGTAGAACTCAGCAAAATAAAAATTTTAAAGATAGAAATTAAATAACATAAAAGCTTACTTATATCCTTTATTTAGCTCATGTGTTACATGTAAGTTTTGGATAAAATAGATCACATTTGAATACTTCATAAGCAGAATATCTAATAACTCCAAAGAAATATTAGAGTTCAATTATAACTTAAATTTAATTAACATTAATAAACTATGAATGAACTTCTTGTGTTGTTCACATACATCAATTACCATGCTTCCTTTCAACTTTAGAATGGATCATACATATGAAATTGGTTCATTTGGCTACCTTAAGATCAAAAGGTATATTCTAAGGATCCTTTGGCCTCCCAATGGGCGACCTTTTTTTTCATATTTGTATAAATCAATAAAAACATTATACTAGAAGGATTCATTAAACTTATGATAGATCACCTTTGTCACATGGTTTGTACTATTCATAACCTTACCATTCTATCAACATAGACAATTTTTCTAAAGCTCGTTTTACATCATTTCATTATTTGAACATTTTGATGTATACATCATATCTTTATTTCGTAGCATTCTATGCCTATACATGCATCTTTCAATTTAAACATACATTCTAATTTTCATAAAATGAGATATGTGACAATCTTATATCTTAAACAAAGTAGTTTGTGACATTAATTTGTAGTAATTATTTTCCCTAAAATTTTATTTGCATATCTTACCTAACTAGGGGTGTCAATGATCCTTCCTCGTGTTCATTTCTTTGTTATTAATGCCTTGACATTTCCTTCATGCATACATTACCTAAATAGAAGATTTAGCACATTAAACTTTATTTATAATTTTAGACACAATTAAACTTAAATTTCTTTTCAAAATAATATTTTTGCCTCAAAAGAATCATTCCTCGTCTAATTATAAAGCTCTTTTCAAGTGTAAATTGTGTTTAAATTCAATAAAAATATGCTATTTTAGTTGTGTTTTTACTAGAAATGTATAGGAAAAGGAAAAAATTATAAGTTCTGAATAGTGCCGCAATGTCAGCATAATAAGTGCCACAGCGCATGCATTCACAGCACCCCAGCACCAGATTCAGACATTATAGCACCAATTTCTCTTATTTTTTAGCATTAAAGCATCACTAAGGTCAGCTCCGCTATGCCAAAAATTCAACACCATAGTATAGGAGCCTCAGGAACATGAGCAACAGAGTGCCAAGCCTTGCAATGCCTTAGTGTCGAAATTCACACTCAAGCGTCATAGTGCTCAAATTTGGAAGGACACAACGGAGCAATTTCTGAGACGAGGAGCCAAGCTGACTTTAGCCAAAAGATGTGTCGTTTTAATCATTAATCATTCCAGGTCCATCAACAATATAATGGATACAACATTAGAGTGCATTATAGCACCAAGATGCTAGTTCATTTTATATTGTTGTGGCACCATCTTATTGATCACCACGGTGCCTGAGCCCATCCCTATACTTGTTATAAATAATCCTTTTGTTCTATTGTTTAAAGAGTTATATCACTTAAGTAAAATTTTATAATTTTATGTGTGTTCTTTCGTACCCCTTAGAGTAAAGTCTAAGAAAAGCTAGGGAAGTGCAAGATACTTTTATTATGGAGATCTTAGCCTATTTGTGTAAGTAATTATATGATCGGAGGAAGGAGTGTGGAAAATATCATGTTATTCTTCAAAGTGATAATTTTTTTATTACTTCTCTTCTATCTTTTCTTTCAATGAATGAAATGAAAATATGTTTTCTTGTCATATCTTCCATGTTTGGCTAGTTCTTTAGTTTTAAACTAATGATGAGTATAGCAAGTATTAATATAGACTATTATTCATTTAATGATAATTTGATATTTTTATTTCTCTCGTTCTTCATCTAATTCATATAATGGACATGTGTATAGTAAATATCTAGTATGATGTATAGCTTCAATAAAGGAATGTTGGAATAAGCATGAGTATTAAAATAGAATATTGGCATGCTTAGACATAAGATGTTTGAATAATCTAGACTCTATAAAGATAAAAAATGGTAGGAATGTTATAAACCTTTCTTTCCACTCCTAAAAACTTGATAGAGATCTATGGATGCATATGCTCTGATTCACATCTAAAAATTAAGAGTCTTATTAAGAAAATTATATTATTTACATTCATTAGTCCAAATACTTTATTTTTTTAAGTATCAAAATTTCTTTACAAAATTTTCTTTTAGTGATGATAACTCCAACACATTATTTTTACTTTTAATATGATAAGTTGTACATTTGGAGTAAGTAGTATTAGTTTAATTACAATTAAGTAGAATACTTTTTTGTGGGCTCTACACTCTACTATATCACTTTATTACTTAATTCAACACACATACTTACATATTTAGTCATCTTTTTAATTCTATATAAAAAAAATTCTAAGTATATATCAGCTCAGCAAGTCTCATCTTAATCCATATTGCTAGCCGCCCATCAAGTTTTTGACATTGACAGGGAAGTAACATGAATTTTGTAATTTTATTATATTATTGAAATAAGTGTATATTTATACCTACTTGTATCTTATATCTTTATTCTATTTGATAAAAACTTTGAAAAATTTAAAAGAGTATTTTATTGATTGATTAACTTGTGATTTTTATTTTTATTTCATCATTGTTACATGCTTGGTTGATCTACTAAGGAGCTCTTGTTGTTTGATCCAACCTCTTAAAAAAAAAAGAAAGAAAGATATGTATGAACTAGTGCAAGATTAGGACAATTATAAACCTCTTAGAGAGTATGTTAACCCTGCAGTAGAAGGAATCCATCAAAGTATCAATAGACTTATTATCCAGGCTAATAACTTTAAACTAAAACCTGTCATAATTTAAATAGTTCAAAAATTCTAGTTTGGGGGAACTCCTGCTAAGGATACTAACTAATAGTTTATGAATTTTTTGGAAATTTTTGCAACATTTAATTATATGATGTCAGTGATGATGCTATTAGACTTAAATTATTCTCATTTTCTCTAAGGAATAAAGCTGATATGTTGTTGATTTTTTTTGTCCCCAATCTCTATGATCACTAGGAAAGAATTGGCTCACAAATTTCTAGCTAAGTATTTCCACATTTAAATACATTCAAACTTAGAAATGATATCATATCTGTTACCCAGTTTGAGTGAGAATCAATTTATGAAAGTTATGAGAGATTCAAAGATATGCTTAGGAAATGCCCTCACCATACTTTATATGATTGGTTGGTTATTTAGATTTTTTATCATGGATTGGTATGATTCCTTAGGTCAATCATAAATGTTGCAGCTGGAGGATCTTTAATGTCTAAGGCATATGAGAAAGTATATGAATTAATACAGAAAATGACTATAAATAATTCTAGTGGCCTATTGATAAGGTGTATCCTATGATAGTAGTTAGAGTTTATGAATCAAATTTTTTAATCAATTCTTACTGCTCAGGTTGTTTTAATTTCAAATAAATTGGATATTGTTGTAGTTAACTTAAGATCATCCAAGCAATTGGATGAAAATGGTGCTCTAGGGATTAAAAATATAAATTGAATTGGAAGACAAAATAACCCCTATTCTAATACATAAAATCTAGGTTGGAGGAATCACCCTAATTTTAGTTGGTCAAATAATTTTAGTAGCAATAATCAATTGAATACAAGTCAATATAATTAAGGAGTAAATTGAAATAATCCTCAACAACCTGTAGTGAATCTTAGGCCTTCATATCCCACAGGATTTAATCAAAATAATCAGTTTGAAAATAGGAAGACACATTTCGAAGAGATAGTAGTGGTTCAGTTAGGAACTCAATTGCAAAGTCAAGCTACTTTAACCAAAATTTTGGAAACTTAATTAGGACACCTTTCAATCTCTTTTAGTAGTATGCACCTTGGTTTATTTCTCAGTAATAGTGAAGTTAACCTTAAAGAGAAAGAGAAGGATTATGGTGGAAATCATTTGAGGAGTGGTAGTGATACTCCCATGCTAAAATGATATATTTAGGTCAGTTTAGATGAAAACTATAATTTAGTGTTATATTCAGAGGTAACCTAATTCTATTTCATGTTTTTATTTAATTTTATTTTGTTATGTTTCATGATTTTTTTTGTTATTTTTGATATGTGAATGTGATAAAATATTAGTAATCCTTATTAATTCTTAATTTTTACTAAGTTATAATATAAGTCCTGAGAAAAAAATGATTGTGCTAATGATTGAACTAGCTCCACATCACTATATTTTGAGCGTTGTCACGTCTACTTGTTAAGCGCTATGACATTCAAAACTAGCATCATAACAATGAGCACTCAAAAAAATTGCTTGATAATACTTCCACAATATTTTATTCTTGAACACTGCTATGCTTTTAAACCTTCTCGAGCACCTTGGTGCTACATCTTTAAGTGTTGCGGCGTTAGGTATGCAATTTTATAGTTCTATAGTAGTGCAATTAATTAATTGTATTATCATAACTTTTTTATTATAACACTTTGGTGAGCTTCATAGTGTTATTACAAGAGCCACAATGTTATCAAATTAATTAATTGTATTATCATAACTTTTTTATTATAACACTTTGGTGAGCTTCATAGTGTTATTACAAGCGCCACAATGTTAAGTAAAAATCATTATTAGTTCAGTTAAACTTCATGGAGGCAATCTTTGGTAATGCCGTAGTGCTCATACGTATTAAATGCCATAGTAGTTGCCAAGTAAAAAAAGCCGACTTTTTGATTTCCCATATGAGCACTACAACACTACTTGTCCTACACCATAGTAGTGTGTCATTTAGATTGCTTGTCATTCTATCTTTTCATACGCCATAATGCTCAATTTGTTTATAAATAGGAACCCACAATTTTAGTTATTTCACTTCATTTTCACTCTTTTTTATATCCTTAAACTCTACATTTTTAAACTTTACTTATGTGCAATGGCCCCTAAGATGTTGGGTGAGAAGAGATATTCCTTCTCTTAGGAAAAGAGCAAATTTATATCTGTCAAAGCTGAGTAAAGATGTATTGAATTGTGGTGAAAAAGCAGTTAATTCTAGAGAGAGGTTTTTCAGAACAAGTGTTGCACCATCCACAAATGAGCAAGTAAAAGTTAAAAAAAAAATCATAAATCTTTTCAGAAAGGTTGAAGGAGAAAAGGGCAAATTAGTGGATATACTTCCCTCTTTCTTATGGACACTAAGAACAAATCACTCAATAATGGGCTAGACATCATTTTCTCTCTCCATTGATGATAAGAAATTACTCCTAATGGAACTTGAATTGCATATTCTGCAACTAGTTGAAGTTTCTAATATCAATGAAGGAAAGTTTAATGAGTTGAAAGAGACCAATACGATCTGGAGATAGAAATCAATCTCATTGAGAAACTTCAAGAATAGGGCACACTCATGCATGAAGATGTTAAAAAGAAAAATTGTCAAATATTACAACACTCATGTAAACAGAGAAATTCTTCCATCTAGATGACTTAGTTCTTACCAAAGTAGATTCCTCCACTCATTATTCAATACTAGGAAAACATAGGTAGATTTGGGAAACATCCTCAAAAGGCAGGCTAAAGGCACATATGCTACAAAATCATTTAGGAAGGGAGCTGCCTAAAATATGGAATGGATAACTTGAAGAATTCCTACCCATGAGGGAGGTTATTGTATTTGTATATATGTGAAATTATTTAAATAAAAATAAGCTTTTTCTTCTTTTTATGTTATATACATATATTTCTATTAGAATCTTTGGATGGATGAGTTACTAAATGATAAACTCAATAATTATACATGTACTTAGAATAAAATGAATGCTTACGAAACTCACCCTCCTTTTAAATGAAGACACTCAGGAAACTTGCATGCTTCTTGAAGCCTTAGTAATAAACTTGCACATCCAAACACTATTGGAAAAATAAGGATTTTTGGCAAATTTATGAGTAGATTGAATTTTAAACCGTAAAACTGGTAGAATTTTTGTTGGAAAACATATAGGCAGTTCCATCTATAATTTATTGAACAAGTGGAATTTCTCGTGAATTTTTAATCAAAAATTTGGACTTAATTCCTATAAACATTCTACAATAGAATAATCTATTTCATCCTTATGTCTCCTCCCCTTTTACATGAAATAGACCCAAAACCTCCATTTTTGACTCTCAACCCCGTCCAACCTCCCTTCATATTTTGATATTTATCTAACAATTTTCTTCATTTCTTGGAAGATCTAAAGGTAAATCTGCATCTCTTTTAATATTTCAATCAATTTAAGATTTCACCCATTTGATTTTATTTAAAAATGATTTTAGCTTTATGCTTTTTTAAAAAAAATTCTTTAAATTTGATTTTTTTTTTCATATAATGTACTTCCTATAAGATTACACTATTGATTCCTATGTTATGGGATTAAATATAACTGATTGAAAGTTTTTATTGACATAAAATTAACTTACATAATTAAAAATGGTCAAATTAGTCTAAATGGTACTCACTAATGAAATTTGTTACTTAAAAATATTTCATGCATAAGAAAATAAAATGTGGGGAGAATCTACTCAAGATCACCAAAAATCCTACAAATAGGGTCAGTTGCCACCTTACATGACAAAAACCCTAAATCCAATAAGTACTTCTAGAGGATTCGTTTGCCCTTAATGAAGGACTCCCTTATAAGAGACTATGAATCACGATTATCTCAACCTATAAGGCTACAATGTGCTTTCCAGAGGTGGGCATCCACTTCATGATAGTGTCCTTTTGAGAACTCTCTATTCCTTCGCCTGCAACCCCTTGCTAGTTTAGGACCTTCTCCATGACACTGACTCTCTTCGCTCAGGCTTCGAGCATGGTCAAACCTTAATATAGGATCTATTGCTAGATGGACCTAGTAATATGGGTGTCAAAATGGGTTGATGAGTTAGGTACAGGTTCGACCCAAATCCAATTAACTCAAACCAGATCATTTTTTTAAATGAGTAAAAAATATACTAACCTTAAACCCGACCCAATAGTAACTTGAAAGACCCGAACTTGAACCATTAACCAATTTTGGTTAAATTTTTTTATAACTTATTTACTATAAAATTTCTGTTGATGAGTCAATTTATTTTTGATACTCCTACCTAGCAAGAGTGAGAACAACAATATTCCAAGCGCCATCATTTTTTTGGTGGTTGGGGTCTCACGCATAGTGGGCTACACCTCCCATTCCTTGCTAGCTATTCTTAATGTAGACTCAATATAATAAGCGCTGATGCGGTCATCGGATACTCTTGGTGAACCGGCGGACCACTTGACACACTACTTCTGCCACTTCCTCTGCAAACACTACATTTCTGCTTCTTTTAGTACCGCTGCACTTTATTAGCTGTTTTGCTTTACTTATTATCAGCTCCATTTTACTTAGTTAATTTTAATTTAAGTTTGCTAAACCAGATATATACTGGTTTACTGTTTAGAGGAGGCAGATAGAAAATATATACAAAAACTCTCTTGGAGCACTGTTCCATTGGTTTGTTCTTGAGTTTCAGGTTTCCTCCTTCTTGCTGCTGCACCATTAATTTGGTATCAGAGCTAGGCTGTTCGCGGTAATGGCAGAAGGCA